AAAACAAAGTATGGATTTTGAAAGATGTTCATAAAGATCACTGAATTTGGAAACAAGTTGCAAAACATAATGCAGTATCTTGTTTATATGCCTATCCACATGTATTTGTGGATGTATGTAGTGGTGGAATGACGAGGGCTTAAATATACAGATATATAAACATACGTGTGTATGGAGAGAGATGAAAGGATTGAGGATTTATCCAACAGTGGTGTTTATTTTTTTTTTTATTTTTTTTTTTATTTATTTATGATAGTCACACAGAGAGAGAGAGAGGCAGAGACACAGGCAGAGGGAGAAGCAGGCTCCATGCACCGGGAGCCCGACGTGGGATTCGATCCCGGGTCTCCAGGATCGCGCCCTGGGCCAAAGGCAGGCACAAACCGCTGCGCCACCCAGGGATCCCAACAGTGGTGTTTATTAACTCCAGGAATTACAAGATAGGGGAGGGGTGGGGTATATCACTGTTTTTTGAATATTTTAAATTAAAAGATAAAAAATATTCAGTGTAAAAAAATAAAGGGTTCAAAGTGAAAGAAGCTATAAATTCTTTAACAATAAATACAGGTATCGGAGTAATCAATGGTCATTCCCATATGATTTATTTTAAAAGTTCATCTTCTTGGGGCACCTGGCTAAAGCATGTGACTCTTGATCTTGGGGTTTTGAATTTGAACCCCACACTGAGGGTGGAGATTACTTAAAAAACTTAAAAAAAACAAAAATAAGAAAAAAGTTAATCTCACTGATTTGAAATGCTACCTTTCTTATGTGGCTACCATTGAGTCTACTCCTGGAATTTTTCTGTCCTGCTGTATGGCCTATTCACGTGCCAATAACCAAACTTTGAATTATGGAAGATTTAAGAGTGTGTTTTAATGTCTGGTAAGGTTAGGTTTCTTTTGTTTGTTTGTAAGTTTCCATAGCTTTTCTTGTATATTCTCTCAAATAGAAGTAAACATGATCATCTGTATTGGGAGAAAAATATTTTCATGATGAGTCTTAAGAATGTGATACATTAAAAAAAAGAATATGATACATCTTTTCAATATTTAAAGCCTACTTTTCTATCAAGAGTTTTATTTTTTAAAAGTCTTCCTGTTAGTTAGGGGCACCTGGCTGGCTCAGTTGGGAGAACTTGTGGACTCTTGATCTGGGGTTTGTGAGTTTGAGCCCCACGTTGGGCATAGAGATTGAAAAAATAAACTTTAAAAAAGGTTTACACATAAATTTCTTTTTCTAATAATAAAAAGGGTCTTCTCTTCAAAAGCATCTTCTAACTAGTTTAAGTTTGTGTGTATATATATAAAGTCTTTTATTTTTTAGTAAACATTTTTATTGAACTATAATTATACATACAGAAAAATGCACAAATCATAAATGTACAGCTTGATAAGTAGCCATAAAATGAATGCACCTATGTAACCAGCACCTGATGATGAAACATTACCAGCACCATAGAAGCTGCCTCATACTCTTCCTCTTCCAGGTCTTCGTTGAGCTAAAGAAGCCAGATGAAAAATCATGTATACGAATCCACTTATATAAAGTTTAAAAACAGACAAAACTGACAATTTCATCATGACAGTGCTTACCTTTGGGGGAGGGAGATAGTGAAAGGGGATGCTGATTCTTGACACCTATAGATAAGTTTTGCCTGTTTTGAACTTCATTTAAATGAAATCAGTAATATATATTCTTTGTGTCTGGGGAGTGCTAACTTGTATGCATGATATTTCAATGTACTTGTAATTGCTACTTTACTAAGTCATCTTACAGTTTTTCAACAAATTTCTTAAGGTTTTCTAGATACTAGATGCGTATCTGCAAATACTTCTTCCTTTCCACAAATTTCATATGGCTTTGTTTTGTCAAACTGCATTGGTTTTAGCCTTAACAATGTTAAGGGGAAGAGAGAGACAGGGGCACATCTTGTGTCTTGTTTCACTTTGTGGAAAGCCACTTTTGTATTGCTGGCTTTGGGGCAGAGGTACAGTGGTAATGAATGACTCATCAATTTCTGTTTATTGAATACATTCAGCATGAATTGAATGCTCAATTCTGTCAAATGCCTTTTCTGAAAAATGGAGAATGAATTTCTCCTTAGCTCTTAATATGATGGTACTAATAATTGCCTACTATTGAATTATCCTTGTAGTCCTATAAGAAATCCTACTTTGTCATGATTTATTAGTTTTTGAAAGTGCTGTTGGAATGTTTGCTAATACACAAGGCTTTTTGCACTGGTATTTGTGAGTGGTCTATAATTTTCTCTTTGGTACAATCTTTGTCAAGTTTTGGAAACAACGCTATTGTATTTGCTTTACAAAATCAATTTGCAAGTCTTAAAAACATTTTTTTTTTTTGGCACTTTGAGGTCAAGATTCTTTTTTTCTAGCTTCTAGAATTACATCAACAACATTGGGATCATTTAATCTTAAAGGTTTAGTAGAAATCCCTGGAAACCATCAATGCCTGACACTTTTTTGGTAAGGAGTCCTTTATTAGTTTCTTCAATGACAACTGGTTTTAAATTTGTGTCTAGGAGGGTAAATGCTGGCAATCTGCCTTTTCTTAAACAAGTTATTTTTCTAATTTATTACATCAAATTAGTCTTATTATTTTGAAAAATTTCCTGTTTTGTGGTTATTTCTCCCGTTGTCATTTCAATCTGTGTATTTCTGCTTCCTCCCTTTTCTCTTGAATGAGTTAGCAGATTCACACCCTCTCTGCTTTTACAAATTCCTTCCGTTTTTTTTCGTTCAGATTTTAAGACTTGTTTGTATAATTTTCAGCCTCTCCCATTTTTTAATGATATATTCTAAATACTGTAAATTACCTGTCATAACTCCTTTTTAAAAAAATTTGAAGTTTTCATCAGTCTTGTGGTCATGTCTTTCTGGTGTGCTTTCACTGTCTTTGGGGATGTCGGCTTGCTTATTCTCTTATTTCTTCTAACTTTTGAATGAGATCTCATGGTCATCCTTCTCATAGTTTTGTGGAGTTTCCTGATTGAGAGTTTTCCTGTACTTCTTAGGAGAGGAGCGGCTCTAGGATGCCTTTTCTTAGTTCCACTGCCCTAAAGCTCCGTTTTCGTTTTGACAAAGAATTGACAGGACATTGCTACCCACCTTCCTTCCCAACGTTGACCTGGACTCTCTTCTCTTTGTGCTATTGTACCTGTCCCGTCAAGCTGAAATCCTAATTCTAGCTGTTTCTCCTCAGTGCTGCTAGGTTTCGTCTCATTAGTTCTGAGACCTACACAGCACCAGGTCCAAACTGCTTTAGTACATTTGTCAGACTTCATTACACTGCTGAGAAACCACCCTGGCTGAGAAGCAGGGGACTGTCAGAATACAGATGCTGAAACTATGCTGGCCAGCCATTTGTCCTTCCTTCCTTGTGTTTTTAAGTTCACAGGGACAACTGTCATCTAGTTTTGTAGAAAAGGGTCTGGGGCTAACCTGGTTACTCTGTATTCTTAGGGGAAGGTTCAGAAGGGACCCTCCTGTGGTCATCGTCCCCAAGCTTAACCCTTGTGAAATCTCTTATTACAGAAAAGAGATTTTAATAATGATCATTTTATAATGGTTATGACAAATTATAGTGAGGAATTTACTGTATTTCAGGTACTAACTATGCCAAGTGCTTTATATGCATTATGTCACTTAATCCTTGAATAACCCTTAGGCGTTCCCCTCCTCACCCCAATTTTATGGATAGGAAAGTTAGGTTCCAAGATCACGCTGCTAAATTTGCACATCTGGGACTTAAACCCAAATCATAAGACTCCAGAGCACCTCCTTACTAAGCTGACTCTCAAACAGTATCAGGTCCAACCATTTCCAAACTACAGGCCACTGTGAACTGAAATTAAAGAATATTTGAAGATCTGATAAAAATGTATACACGTTACAGGTCAAATCTAAAAACACCATAGATGATGAATAGGCTGAACTATGTGGTATGACCTGATTAATCTTGTTTTCACGCAGATGCTCAAAACAAAGCTTCTTCTACTAACTTCTGAAAAAAACCACAAAGAGGGTGAGGGCAGAACACAGAGCTACTTGAGGTTCTGGACTTCTATTTCCTTGCTCATTATAAACCAATGCTAAAGAATAAATATGTGAAATATTACTTATAATTCAGTTTATTAATAAATATTGTTTTTGTAAATAACTATTTAGAAACAGGAATCCTTTCTCTGCAGTTCACTGGCTGATATGTTCTGGTCAGCATGCCACTATGGACGGTGAACACCCACTGGGCCACAAGACTGCATAAAAAGGACCCTCACATGTGTACCATTTAGAAATTCTATCATACTTATTGTAAATTTAGAAATTTACAAGCTTTTGCTATTAAAGTATACAAGCAGTTAGGAAATATTTAAGTTTATGAAATACTTTTAAACTTAGAATTCTCTCCCATTTACAAATACTTACTATTATTACTTTATAACTGCTAGTGGCAATTCAGAAAAACAATCTGGGTTTTTTATAATAGCTCTACTGCCATTCCATAAATGTTATTTTAACTCTCCATGTCTAGGAAGTTACTTAGTTTGAGATAGGGATGTCTTAATTTGTCAGGACCTTAAATAGAAGCAACTGAAATAACTTGCTGAAAGATAACATCTGCTGTTAAGCTTATATTTTCCCCACAATCAGAAAAGGGATTTTATTTCTAATTAAAAAAATAATAAAGTTGACTTTGGCAAGATGAGTTTTAAAACTAAGGATGCCAACAACAAATGAATCATTTCTCCAAGCACATACCAGATTTCCCTTTGGAAGGACCATTATTTAAGGGCATTCTCCCCTCCAATTTAGGAAAGAAATTAAAATTTAAATAATCCCTAAACAGTAATACTAATAATTTAGTTTTTATACTGATAGTTGTAGAATAATTCAACATCAATTATCACCAAAACTTGAACTTAAACTCAGCTCCTTTAGTGAAGAGATTTTCTTATCCATTTCAGTCTCTGAACATCATTCAACAACAATGATGGATGTGATTTATTGATAAATTGTTACTAATGAAGATGAGTTTTTACACTATTTCCTTTACAATTAGCTAGTTCGCAGAATGAAGAAAACAAAAAACAAAAGCAACACCCCAATCATTAACGCCTGAACAGAACATTTCCCTTCCACTTACCTGAAAATATAAAAATATAAATGACCATGTATGGAGCTGTACCATTAAATTTACTTAGTGGTTCTGTTTTTTTTACTGAGAATTTTACTTATTTATTTTGAAAAAATTAGAAAATTATCATTTTGAAATCAGAACCACTAACATATTGAAGGCAACAAACTAAAAAAAATCCAAATGGCTAAAAGTAACTGTTATAAAAGTACAATTTACAATATCACATATTTCAGAAAAATAAACAAACCCACCAAATGTCTTTCCTTCTATATAACTATTTTCTCTCCAGAAAGAAAAAGCAACTAATGAAATTAAAATCAAGCATAACTGTTATTCACCCCAGTGACATCTAAATAAATGACCCACACAGCACAAAACTTTCTCATTCACAATCACATAAATTATTTTTCCCTCAATTACATAATAGTAAATCAATGTCCCTTTAGAAAATTACTGTATTAGTTAAATCTATTCATCTTTGCTATGAAGTTAATTTCATTTATAGAGGCCACATAAGTTTAACTGGCACACTTAATAAGACAAAAGTCATTCTTTAAAAATTACAGAATCATCTTTTCAAAGAAGAATCCTTAATTCATTAAAGCAATTTTCTACCATCAGCTGTCAAGCTTTTTAAATGACCATTAAGTGTTCACCTGAAGATTATCAATGCTATGTGAACTGTAAACTTATTTTGAAGATTTGTGTCCATTTTACAGTATGATACAATTTGTATTGAAGATTTTTTTTAAAAAGATAACCTACATACATATAGTTAATTTGCCACAAAGAACTTCTTAGAAATACAGTATAAACATTTAAGAACCACAACAGAGTCCACTGTGGTTCAAACTTCAACAAAGATTTTCTTGAAACCCAGTACAAAGGTTACTGGCTCAAGACCATATTCCAAAGTGACATCGGCACAAGATTTGATTGTGAGACTCTACTTCTTAAAAAAAAAATAAAATAAAAAAAAATAAAAATAAAAAAAAGAGAGCACACTTGGTTATACATGGCTTTTAACCTTGAGCTACAGTTATGCTACAAATCCCCCCACCCTCCCAAACTAAATGAAGTCAGTCATGTGGAGATGTGCACATTCTCTGGGCACTGTTTAGAGTCCTTGATTTTCCAGCTCTGATGGAGATCTCGAAGGCGTTCAGAAGTCCGTGTGCTTACATTCAGGGCAGGATGAACTTTACAAATTCCACTTTCCTCCATTAGTGACAGGCCACAGATCCCAAAGTATGCATGCAAAGCATCTGAAAATGAGGTATTTGTTTTTTTTTTTTAATCATAATAGGCATTCTTATTTGTACATGCTGCAAAGTATTGTAGCTACATATCTATTAGTCCATCACATTAAAATTAAATTTAGAAAAATGTTAGTTTTTGAAACGTGCTCTCAAGGTCTCAAAACACCAATTAAAAAAAGAAAAAAAGATCAAAATCAGAATTTTTATCAAAGAAAATATCATTAACAAAGGAAAATAGTTCTCAAAGGAAGAGGTGACACTCTCAACATCCTCTATGGTTAAAAAAAATAGAGAGTAGCAGTAATATAAGACTTCTCGCTAAGTTTTCCCTTTGCTTATAAGTTTCCCTTTGCTTTTAGCTCTGTATAGTAAAAGGAAAAAAAATTCCTTAAAAATGAAAATAGACCTCTGACTCTAAGTAGAAATACCTTTCCCCTCTAAGTTTTACCTCTGACATTTCCATAACCAAAGTATCTTCATACTGTGTTCAGTGAAAGAGGTCTGAACAGAATACTAATACTCTGTTGTGGAATGCTGCACCATATTTAGTTTTCCTATTTAGGGGAATGTCAGTCATCCAAAAAATGTCTGACCTGACAGTAAAAACAAACTTACATTCCCTGTGGTTATAAATACAATATATTTATATAATCTTTCTTCTATACTGGCTTCACTACTGTTTCCCATCTTTCAAGGGGCAGTGACCCTCTTGCATTCAAGCAGCCACAGAAATCACATGGCTGTTCCTCCTGGACAGCCTTATACGGACTCTGAAGAGCTCAGAGCTCTGCAGTTATGGGCATACTACAAAAAACAGATTTTGTAGTCATCAAGCATTTTTCCTATTTTTGTACTGGCCATCATTTAAGGCAAGAGCTACTGAAGTTCAGACACCTTACCAACTCAAACTTTGTCAGAAGAATTAAAGAAAATTTTTACTTACGTGAGTATTATTTACTTTTCAAAACAGGAGTGATGAGAGAGTTGTGCCTACTCAAGATTATTTGTGAGGCCCATGTCACTCCCCTTTCATGTCTTCTCAGAGAATGCTTAGGTTTCTTTTAGCTCACTTTTCTCTCATTTTCAGACCACAAAAATTTTGATTTCCCCTATACTATGAAAGTTTCCTTCTAGTTATTCTAAAATTACAAAAGGCACAAAATGACATTATGTTTTACTGTCTAGAAATGAGGAAACATTTCTAGGAAAAAATACAACTGAAAGAGAAATAAAATCGATCCAGAATAACATAAAATAGGATCATCTACTTTCTACATAATGTAAAAATAAAACATTTTTTTGCAAAGATTTTTGTAAAAGCCAATGAATCAAGATTTGTTTCAAATCTCAAAGTTTTTATTTTAACCTTCCTTATCCGTAGGCGTATTCAAGCATATTAGATGCTAAAATATCTAGTTTCCTCATAATAAAAGTTCATTCTTTTCATTAAGTTTCTTCTATAAATGTATATAAAATTGCTTTGCATCAATTCTGTTACTAAATTTACTAGAACCAAGATAAGCTAATTTTAAAGACTCTTAAAAAAATGATTTTCCTAGACTCTGTTAAACAGGTCTTTCCACATATATTCAATTTACTAGACATAAACTTTCTATGCTCTGTGGTGTATAAGTTCAGAAGACATTTTACCATATCTGTAAAAAGTTCTATATTCAAGCATTTACACAAATATTAACAACTGACTGCTAGAAAAAGCTTCAAGAATTAAAACAAACAAACAAAAAAACATCTATTGTGGGTCGTCTGGGTGGCTCAGTTGGTTAAACATCCAACTCTTGGTTCTGGCTCAGGTCATGATTTTATTGGTTGTAAGATTAAGCCCCTTATGGGCTCTGTGCTCAGTGGGGAGTTGGCTTGAAGATTCTCTCCCTCTGCCCCTTACCCCACTCATGCTCATTCACTAAGATAAATAAATAAATCTTAAAAACCAAATCTATTGTAAATATTCAAAAAGTATTTCAAGTATGTTTATGCCAGACATGCTAAGATATTGTCATTTCTCTATTACCATTTGGTAAAATAGTACAAGCCCTGATGAAAACCAATGGCATCAAGACAATTCTCACTTTTCTTGAGGTACTGTTCTAACATTTATAGCTATGGTTACAGATACCAAATTTAAAAATATTATTTTGCTTTAGAAATTAGAACATAAAAAAAAACATAAAGAACTCATATAGCTCAACAGAAAAAAAAAATGAGCAAAGGATCCGAATAGCTATTTCTCCAAAGAATATACACAAAAGGCCAACCAATGCATGAGGAGATGCTGGATCATCATTAACTATGAGGGAAATGCAAATTAAAACCACAGTAAAATACCATGTCACTCTTATTAGAATGGTCATCACCAAAGGGACAAGAGATAACAAACACTGATGTGTATATGGATAAAGTGAACCCTTGTGTACTGCTGGTTGGAATGTAAATTGGTATAGTCCCTATGGTAAAAAGTACAGAGAAGACTCAAAAAATTAAAAATAGAACTACCACATGATCCAGTAATATCCTCAGAGGAAACGAAAACGCTAACATGTTATCTACTCCCCCATGTTCACAGCAGAATTATTTACATTAGCCAAGACATAGAAACAACCTAAGTATCCATCAACAGATAAATGGATAAAGAATTGTGGTATACAGGTGCCTGGGTGGCTCAGTCAGGCGTCTGCCTTTGGCTTGGATCATGATCCTGAGGTTGAGCCTTGTGTGGGGCTCCCAGCTCAAATGAGAGCCTGCTTCTCCCTCTCCCTTTGCCTCTCCCTCCTGCTTGTGCTCCTCTAACAAATACAATCTTAAAAAAAAAAAGACTTTGTGGTATATACATACACAATGGAATAGGATTCAGCCATAAAAATGAAGAAATCCTATTATTTGCAACAACATGGATGGACCTTAAAGGTGTGATGCTAAGTGAAATGAAGTCAGAGAAAGACAAATATCCCACTTATGTGGAATCTAAAAAACAAAAACAAAATAACGAAACTCACAGAAGAAAAGGGATTGGACCTGTGCTTACCAGAGGTGGGGGTTGGGGGGAGGAGGCATTGGAAGAAGGGTGTCAAGTGGTACAAACTTCCACTAATAAATAAGAACTGAGGTGTCATGCAGAACATGAGGACCACAGCTCACACTGCACTACGATATATAGGAATCATGTTAGGATAGTTCATCCTACGAGCTCTCATCACAAAAATAAATTGTTTGTCCTTCACTATTTTGTTTCTTCTGTATCTCTAATAAGAGATCAGATCTCTTATCTTCTATAAGAAGATGGGTGCTCGCTGAGCCTATTGTGGTAGTCATTTCACAACAGATTTAAGTCAAACCATTATGCTGTATGCCTTACACCTACACAGTGATATATGCCAATGATTTCTCAATAAAAATGGCAAAAAATATTCTTTTGCTGTAGAAATTAAAAGCACTGTACCTTTCCTAAAAAGAAGCATATCCTGCATGAAAATATAGGTAAGTATGGATGTGAGGAAATATTTCTGCTCACTTCAGGTAAAATAATCTGATTTCATGAGCCCCATATTTATTATATTCATTCAAATATATATATTCTGACTGTAGCAGTTCTATGATAGATGTGATGAGGTTCTAAACTAATAGTAAAAACCATGATTCTATTTCAGTGCTGTAAAAACAATCATTCCTTGTATCTAGGTTCATGTAGTAAAGCTAATATTTTGTCAACTTGCTTATCAAAAATGTCAGTGTTCTGAATTATTTATAATGAACTTTCAAATTGATTTTTTGGGAAGCTGTAAATAAAGTCCTTTTGCTACAGGTGAAAACATCAGGGAGAGGGACAGGTAGCCTGGAGAAAGATGCTAGAGGTGGAGGAGCCTTATTTCAGGAGGGCCTTGTGTGCTATGGGGAAGAACCACCTCAGGGTGCTGAGAGACTCTCAATGATAAGAGATTTACGAGAAGAGTTTAGAGAAGTTCTCAGCCTTTTTTGCATCAGAGATCCCTGTGAGAGTCTAAGGAAAGCTTTGGCCTCTCTCCTCTCATTCAAGCATGTACACACACGTGGGTGAAGGCGTACATGCATGCGTACACACACACGGTTTCAATGTGAGGGGGACCAAACTATAGAGGCAGTAAGATTAATAGTACAACTGTTGCAGAATCGTAGACCTGAACTAGGTCCTTGTGCCACTCAAGTTCTGGGTCAGGATGGAGAATGAAGATGAGCTCAGCTGGCAGCCTAGGTCAAAGGAGCCTGTGGACAGCATCCATGTAGTTACTGAGCAGGCTGTTTTATATCAGTGCATACAGCTTGGAATAAAGTATGTCTAGGTTTGGGAAATGGCAGAATTATCCATTTTGGAGAAATGTCATTATTGACCCTTGAACAATGCAGTGGTTATAATCACTGACCTCCTGTGCATTTGAAAACTCACAAAGAAATTCTGACTCCTCCAAAGGTTAATTAACAGCCTATTGTTCACAGGAAAGCCTACTGGTAACATCAACAGTCAATTAACACTATGTTCTATATATTATACACTGTATTCTTCCAATAAAGTTAGCTAAAAAAAGAAAATGCTACAAAGAAAACTGTAAAAATAAATTTAAAAATTTTAAAATTATAAAGAGAAATACATTCACAGTACAGCATAATACTTATAGAAAAAAATCCATTTATAAGTGGACAGGCACAGTTCAAATACAAGAATCTTTTGTTCTTTACTTTTTTGCTATTCCTGAGTTTGGAAAACAGTATCACACTGTCTGAATCGATTTGGCTCTTGAGATTTAGACAGTGAATGATACGGAGTTCAGATAGCAAAGTATTCTTCTAAAAAAATAACTTGAATCTGCTGAAATTCAGAGAAGGGTGTGGACAGTGAGGGACAGCTATCTTCAGAATTAGAGATGTTTGATTTAATGGCTTCTGAACAGAGTAAGAACAGATTCCCTTATGGACTTAGTGATTTATTCTACTTAGTTCTAGTGACAGCTAATAATCCTTAAGATTCTGGATGGGCCAAATGATTCTTTATTTGGAGAGGGCCCATTCAGGCCATCTGCCTTATTACCTCAAATGAAATAAAACATTGGTAAGTGAAATATTTGGGGAAAAAGGCATACTATAGCAATACATCTTGATAATCCAACCCTTCCGTCACAACTCTCAACATGCTAAATTCCCCTAAACTTAAACAATTTAAATAATATGTTTTTAAAAAGGTAAACTGTAGTAGCTAAATTTTCTATATTATGCCCTTTCTAACAAAGATGACTGAAGGTCTACTCAAGAAATAAACAAAAAGTAAAGTTGTTGTAGATTCATATAAAAAATAAATTACCTGGATGACTATCTGGCCACTTGGCAAATCCCCCTACAAGGCGATCTTGAGTTGATAAGATGTAATTTCTATTTTTCTCAAAGTTAGTGTACTGAAAAATTTTCAGAAGCTGAAATGACAGGACAAATATAAATTTACTAACATCAAGCTTTCATATTGACCTTTGGCTCAATTTTCAGATATACATCAATTAAATATGCTTTTCTTTAGCTAAGGCTCTCAAAGCAAGCCTCTTGGGGACCTGAGCACTTAGAATCAGTCAACCACATTATTGTCATTTTTATCATCTGATCACAACTACTCTCCTTTTCTTGATGTACTCACTATTTCCTTCTTTGAAGCCATGCCTAAACAAATCTCTTTACATCACATTTGGCTAGGTTCAAAACACAACTCTACCAACCTGTTCTACTTAACCAGTCATTTTGAAAATGAGAATTTATCTACATATATTTTAATTCTTAAGACAGGCTTTTGAGATATTAGTTATAAACCGGTAGTAACTTGAACCAAAAATATTTCAAAAAAGAGAAACAAAAATTATTAACCAGATGCTAGAGACAGTTTTACTTGAGAACAGTAAAAAATTGTAGCTCTTTAAAAACCAGGAAAGGAAAAAAAAAAAAAAACAGGAAAGGTAAAAGGTGAGATAAATATAACTTTAGTGTAAAAAACTATGTAGCTTTAAGACTTAGAACATATATTTACTCTGTCTCTCAAGATCCCATTAAATAGACAAAAATAAAGGATAAATTAAACTATGAAAAGGGGTGTGGAGCAGCAGACAAGAGAGTTTAAAAAATTTCTGTAAGACACAAGGTATGTTAATAAATCAGAAAGAGCCATAGAAGATATAAGTGATTAAAGCAGTGTTATTTCTCAAAAAGAAAAAGCCTGAATGAATTATGATACAAATAAGAAACAAACTTATACATTTTAATTTAGTCCATACAATAAAAGGAAAGAGACTCTTTAGAATCCATCAGCTAGAAATATTTTCCAGCCAGTGGCCTATGGGTCATTAACTAAGAAGAAACTGTAATCTTAACACTGTACTTGGTTTAGCAATAAACAATATTTATATGATCGTACTAAGTGTTGATTCTTGGGTTTTAAATTTTAGAATCAACCCACAGGGAAAGTATAAAATATGTGCATATTGTTACTAAATAAAATAGAAATGTTACTTAACTTGGTATTATAAAAGTAAAGAAAATATGACAGAATTAGAAAGTGGAAGGGGAAGAGAAAAGGTTCAGGACCAAAAAATACAGAATGAGTAACAATCTACTTGAAAAAAGGGAGGCTAAATCTTCATTCTTCATAGTTAGGAATCAAAAATAATGTCTAGAGAGAACTCAAGAAATCCATTAAGCTGGGACGCCTGGCTGTTGATCATGCACTCATGCCCTATGTTGGGTGTAGAACTTACTTAAAAATAAATAAATATTTATAAAAACCAAAAAAATCAGTTAAACTTATGGTGATATCCATAAGAATTAAGAATTTTTAAAATGTTTAAAAGTGGTTTCTTTCAGAAAGTTGTCCAAAAAGACTCAAGAACCTACTCAAAGGGCTTTGACTGGCTAAAAATGGCATCAAAAAGAATAATGTAACAGATTAAAATGCGTTAACCTCAATGGCCACTAAAATGATTCTGTAAAAAAAACTTGATGAGATTTTTATACAACAGCAACAAACTATCCAAAAAGAAATTAAGAAAGCAATTCCATTTATAATGGCATAAAAATAATTAAATATTTAGGAATAAATCTGATCAAGGATAGATTTGTAAGCTGAAAACTATAAAATAGAGCTGAAAAAAGAGCTGAAAGAAATTAAAAATCTAAATAAATGGAAAGACATCCCATACTCCATATGGGAGAGCATAATTCACAAATTATATACATTGATAAGGGATTAATATTCAGAACACTTAAAGAACTCCCTACAACCTTACAACAAAAAACCCGATTAAAAAGTGGGTGAAAGTGGGGCATCTGGGTAGCTCAGTGGTTGAGTGTCTGTCTGCCTTTGGCTCAGGTAGTGACCCCGGGGTCCTGGGACCAAGTCCCGCATCAGGCTCCCCACAGGGAGCCTGCTTCTTCTCCCTTTGCTTGTGTCTCTGCCTCACTCTGTGTCTTTCATGAATAAATAAATAAAATCTTTAAAAAAAGTGAGTGAAAGGCCTGAATAGACATTTTTCCAAAGATAGACAAATGGCCAATAAGAATATGAAAAGATGCTCAATATCACTAATCATTAGGGAGATGCAAACCAAAACCACAATGAGTATAGCACTTCACACCCACTGGGATGGCTATTATAAAAACCAAAACCAAACAGGAAAATCAAATGTTGCCGAGGGTATAAAGAAACTGGAACCCTCATACACTGCTAGTAGGGATGTAAGATGGTGCACATCTGCACTGTATGGCAGTACCTCAAAAAGTTAAACGTAGAACTACCATATGATCCAGCAATTACAGTCCTAGGTAAATATCTAAAAGAAATGAAAGCATAAACCCAGTTATTTGTACACCAATATTCAGAGTCGCCTTACAACAGCTAAAACATGGAAATAACTAAAGTGTCCATCAACAGATATGTGGATAAATAAAATCTGGTAACAACATATTACTCAGCCATAAAAAGGGATGGAGTTCTGCTATGTGTTGTAACATGGATGGACCTTGAGAGTGTTATGAGAAGCTAATAGGTAAGCCAGATGCAGAAGGACATACCATGTGGTTCCACTTACATGACGCACCAAGAACAGGCAAATTCATAAAAACAGACAGCAGAATAGAGATTACCAGGGACTAGAGGGAGTGGAGAATGGTCATGAGGACAGAGTTCAAACTGAGGAAAATCAAAGTTTTGGGGAAAGACAGTGGTGAGGGTTACACAACATTGTAAATGTAATTAATGCCACCCCAATTATACTCTTAGAAATAGTTAAACTGATATGTAGTACATTATGTATATTTTGTCACCATAAAAAAGAAAAAAAGCTGATGGGGAACTTTATACGGGATAAATCAGGTTTGACAACTCTGGAGCCTTTTGATCAAAAGGAGACAACCAGAGATTATGTGCCTCTTGATGTGATGCAAAAAGAAATATACATAATTTCTAGCCAAAATATTATCAAGGAATTATGGCTGGCTTTGCAGATGTGGTAATGACACTACAGTTCTGTTTCTTAGAAAGTTCTTTTTGGTTAATAATTATACTGAAAAATTTCCAGGTAATATAAAAAATGGTATCTGGGATCTGCCCTAAAATAATACAGTGAGGTGGACAGAAGGGAGTTGGAATATGGATAACACTGGATGGCTTTGGGATGAAAGCTGATGAGTCTAGCTGTGGACATACAGGGGTTTGTTATACTATTCTACTTTAGAATATGTTTGAAATTTCGCATAATTAAAAAAAAATAAAGTGGTACACTTGAAGAATGGTACTAGAAGTGAGGAGAGAGAGGGAGATATACTGTCTTCATTTTAAATCATTCTGTTTTCAGAATTTAAGAGAAAAAATTAGGATATTATATAAAAGATGAACACAGACTTTTGTCAGATTTCCAAATATCAGAATTAGGTGATACATTTTGAAAGCGAAAAGGCAATTTTAAGATACAGCAAACTTGTAGGAATTTAGTGGCTAGTAACCTCATGAAATTAGGTATGTCAAAAGGTAAGAGATGGGAAAAAATGTGCAAACGTCAATCAGTAAATTATATAGAAGGGTTAGGCAAATCAATGAAAAATTAAAAACCATGAATCATTTTCAAAGGAAAAACCCATAGTTTGTCTTATAAGATTAGCAACTTCCCATAAAGCTTTTGCTGGTATCATGTTCAGACAGATCCTTACTCTAGATAAACTACCAGCCATTTTAATAACAAGATTTTTTTTACAACCTTATACTTTGTATGCTATCCTTTCTTATCTAAGTTCTCAGCCACTTAAGTTTTATAAGAATGAAAATTTTCAAGTAGCACAACAGATTACTGAATTAACTTTGCCGGGGCATCAGAAAATCTTAGCAGCCTAAATTTAACAGTATTTAATGAACATTACAAAGATCAAACCTTTTGAAGCACAGTTTGTATCAACATAGAGTTTAGGTTTCTCAATTTTACTTTTTCTCTTACCTTTAGAGTTGCTCCTACCCAAAAAGAGTAACAGGTATCTACAGGCTTATTAGGTCTTCCATGATAACCATTTTGTTGCCTCATTATACACCACCTCTTTATCCGGTTCAATTCTTTTTCTGAAAAAACTTCTTCTAGTTTATCCATCAGACACAGTGATGCGATGCCACAGAAAGTTGATCCTCCTGTTAATCAAAACCACACAATACTTCAAACTTCAAATCAGATGCCTAGGAAAATAGTATAAAATGGCTGGAGAAAAAAAAAACAATGGTTATATAATTCTGGAAATCAGTAAAATAAACTGTGAAGATGATTAATTATACGTTTAAAATAATCACAAAGCATTGAAGTCTTCAATATTAATTTGATGAAACAAGATAATTTAAAGCCGTAAAAAATATTTTACTTATGAAAAGACTCTAGAGGCTAAGGAACGTGTTCAAAATTACATGGTTTACTGGAGGAGCTGACACTTGAACCAAGGATGACTTACTTCTTCCTGTCCAGGACTCTGTTGCCCAAGTCTGATTCCGTTCCCTTCAAGACCACATGCACAGTGCTCGTCAACTGTGGTTCCATCTGCCCCAGAGCACAGATTAATTTTCACATAGAACACAGACAAGCTAGAAGCGGATATGTACATATGAGATCTACTCAGCTTACAAAATGTAAGGATGGAAAGTCAGAGCAGGGATGAGGGAGAGTGTACTGGGGGCAGAGAGAAGAGCCTGTCAGGAAGGAGATGAGTATTCATTCACTGTGGGAGACTGAATGACACCCTCCAAAGATTAAGATGTCCAGGTCCTAATCCCTGGAACACATCAATGTTACCTCCCACGGCAAAAGAGACTTGGTGAATGTGATTACAGGTTCTGAGACAGAGAGATTTTTCTGGATTTTCTGGGTGGGCCCTAAATGCAACCACAAGTGTCCTCATGAAGGGGACCTAGGGGGATTACAGAAAGAGGAGGCGATGTGACTATGGAAGCAGACTGGAGTGGCTTGGCAACACATCCAGAAGCTGGCAGAGGCAAGGGAACAGATTCTCCCTGGGAGCCTAGAGTAGGACCAGCCCTGTAAAGTGCAGTACAGACTTCTGTCTTCCAGAATTATAAGAGAATAAACTTGTGTTGTTTTATACCTCTAAGTCCGCAGCAAAATGTTACAGCAGCAACAGGTGACCATGGCATTCAAAGGCGATTCCTTTCCTCAGGAATTGAAAAGCCCATTATTTTTCCACAAAGGAAAAGAAACGACACTTTCCACTGGCAATGTTTACTGTCGAGTCCAAACAATATGAAAACATTTACACTTCCAATTTATTGTGACCTCGCCTACTGATTAACTTCAGCTACAGAAATGGATTGTTTGTAATATGCTTCATTCTACAACTTCTTTTTTACTGTTGTATGTCCTGGATGCAGTCTCTGGCAAAGGAAAAGTGAACATTCCCTCTAGAAAACTCAAGGTAGTCATCACGTTAAAAAGGCCACTATCAGTAAGAACTATTTAATCTTCAGAATTTTTCCCAGTGACTTGGGAGATCTATGTCAGTCATGAGTGAATTAAAACAGAAAAATAAATTTACAATAACTGTTTAGAATAATTTCCTATTAAGCAACTACCAATCTTATTTCCTCTTCAGTGACCCACTGATTTCAATTTCTCTTTCATGACAACCTGGCCATCACTTCAGGTATTATTACATCATTAAACATAAAGTCTTCAACAGATAACATGTACTTATTAACTACTAAAAAATAGGAGTGCCTGGCTGGCTCAGTCGGAAGAGAATGCAACTCCTGATCTCATGTTCGTGAGTTTGAGCCCAATGTTGGTTGGGTGTGGAGATTACTTAAATAAATAAAACATTAAAAAAAAAAAAACTACCAAAAGATAAAAAGAGCTATTTAATTGTTACTCTCCAAATTACTTGTTAGGATGCTTTAAAGCAAACTGGCACAATTTAAAGTAAAAATACTCTCCACTCTGCCCAAATCACCAGCTTTGCACAATGATAACTTCTGAAGTAAGTCTGAGCTCTGAGTAGCCAAAAACACTTACCGCACAGTCTAGGCTTTAATCTAAAATTCATTTACCAACATTTACCCAAGAGGGTCTTATTTTACACAAAATTCTTAAAAACTAGTTCTAAAAAACTAGGCTAACAGTATTTAGTTAGAACAGTATTAGATGCAGATACAAACACTGCAAAACAAGACAGGTAACATTTTAATAACTAAGAAATACCATTAAAAAAAGTAGGCACAGGAACTCATATTCTATTTAGCCTCCAGAGGGCTAAACAAGGTTACATCAATGACTCCTATAAGTTTCAAAACATTTCAAGAATATTACATCATTACAGGCAGGGTGGCTGAATCAGTTAAGCGTCCAACTCGTGATTTTGGGTCAAGTCGTGATCTCAGGGTTGGGAGATGGAGCCCCAGGTCAGACTCCACACTCAGCTGGAGTCTGCTTCTCCTCCTGCTCCTCTCCATCCCCCATCTTATGTACCCCTTCTCTCAAATAAATAAAATCTTAAAAAAAAAAAGAATATTACATCATTACATTAAAGTACAATATAAAACTGCTTCTTATAATTATCTGAATTCATCAAGAAAAGGTTCAGTTGTGTTCATTACATCTTGGGTAACAAAGATATCTTTCCTGAAGGCTATTACAACATGTGATATTAAGGTACATGCAAATACGAGAAAGATGGACATTGCTGAGTTTGTCAACTTAAGTGAGATGCTTCAATCACACAGATGATTCATGTGGGCAGAACACCATAGTCACAAGACGCACAGATGGAAGGGACCAGAGAGGCAGGCTCTCTCTAACAATGGATCTCAGTGCTCCTGGGGGTGGGGTGAAGAAGGTGTTCCTGATTCTAGTCCTGGATACAAAGACTTACTGACATTTTAAGTGTGTAACAGGTATTAGGCTTATTGCTCCCATAAGGTTAAAGCTCACTTTTAAACATTCTCTTGTATTTATTTGCGTGTATCAAAATATCTGAAGGAGTCTGTGTGCTCTGAAATACGTAATTTAAGATGGCTAACAACCATACAGCTAAAGTAGAAAGCAAAAACTAGGTATATAAATAAAAGTAACTATACCATTTTATATTCAAAAACCCCATGGAAAAGGTAAAGTGAGGAAAATTCAAGAAACTGAATGCTTACATGAAATTAGGCCAAAGAGCTGAATACTTCTCTTCTGGATTTTTTTTTTTTAAGATTTTATTTATTTATTCATGAGAGACAGAGAGAAAGAGGCAGAGACACAGGCAGAGGGAGTAGCAGGCTACATGCAGGGAGCCTGATGTGGAACTGGATCCTGGAACTCCAGGATCATGCCCTGAGCCGAAGGCAGACGCTCAACTGCAGAGCCACCCAGGCGTCCCTCTCTTCTGGATTAAGGAGTAGAGATATTTTTGAAGAATCATGCAATCAAATTAATTTATCTTAAGTATTATTGTTATATCCTGAGTCCTGAGAGAAAAAAGAGCTTTAATCCTAGGAAAGCAGATAAATCCAATTCTTTCAAACACAGGAATGCTTTACCCTACAATTGTGCCAGGGCTTAAGAGACTCACTAGGACAAAAAGGAATCCTCCCGTTTGATGATCTCAGCATAGAAGAGTATCATGTGTCTGTTTTGTATACAGGACAAATGGGCTCTCAGCTAAACAGTTGTGGGAGAAGAGCCGATGAACTGTAGCAGAAGGACGCAACCCACACTCAGCCTCCTGAGCTTCAGGATGCCGAGTGGAGTAGAGGATAAGCAAATACTTACTGGACAACTGCAATGTATGAAGACAAGTGGAGTTAGATACGAATCAGACATACCAGCTCACAACATAGCAAAGACGCTCAGGCAAACAGGTAAGTGCCATGAAGATGGCATGAGCCAGGTATTACTCCAAAGGGAGGAACTGCTCAAAGCTGCAGCACAAGAGACAATGAAGAGTTTTATGGAGAATGGAACCAGCCACAGGAAGATGGCAAAACTCTCAAGGTTTGGAAAAAGAAAAAGAGGAGAAGCAGATGGAAGCGGAAGCATTTCAGGCAAGGGAAGAATGTTAGCCATGTCCAGGGGTGAAAAGGCATGTGAGAGCATTTGGGAAACACATGTTCTCTGCAGCCTGGAATGCAGCACGGAAAAGGGGTCACTCACACACGTGTGTACAAAGCAAGGCTGGAAGTGGACAAGGAGAACTAAAATGAGGGACACAAACATGGGCAGAAAAGCACTGCTGAGCATCGACAGGATTTTAGGCAGGCTATGACATATACCCAGTCATATGTGAGCCTAGTATGACAATGGTTATTGTGGTGGTTTGGTACCATGTCAACTTAGCTAAACCAGAAGCGTTTCCCTGGATGGGCTACAGTCCAAGAAATCTGGGTGTGATCTGTAAGGAGGAAGAGGAACAGAGCAGTCCTTATCCTGGCTGTGGTTCTAGGAGCTAAGGGACAGGGCAGAGGTGCCGGCAGATTCCAACTTGTTCTTATTCTCCCACATATGTGGAATGCCAAGTCTGCCTTACTTCTTGCCCTGGTGACCCAAGACCCACAGTCAGATGCCGAAGCAAGAGCCCCCACCAGACTTCTCTACCACAGTCCTGCTCTGGCAGCTGGATGTGCCTGGCTTTCCAGATTCTCCTGCAAGGTTTTACTGTCCACCTGTGCCAGGGCTGCAGGATGGCTCTAGTGACTTCTCCTCAATCCACCAACTTCCCCATCAAGCTCTTACTTCTCTGTATTCTTCCACAGTTGTGGACAAGCTTATTCCCACAATAAATCCCTATTCTTTACTATATGTGGTGGTTTTAGGTCTCTGATCAAATGTGACTAATACAAAGATGTCTATTCCCAGAGGGCTGGTGTGAGAATTAAATGAGACTAAATGGTAGCTGGCACAGAGCAGCTGCCTCATCATAAATTCTAGTCCTTTCCACCTGTAGATCAAGGATTATAAGCAGGTGCCCTACAGGAGAACACTGGTATAACTGCAAAAAAAAAAAAAAAACAAAAAACAAAAAACAAAAAAGAACATGAGGTCAAACACCCCGAATTCTGGACTTCTGGCTTCTATGGATTGAAAAACCAGTAGACCTGGGAGTAGCTGTTCCACATTCCTCAAGAGCAAATGCAAGCATGGGAAGAAGGAAAGAGGAAAAGAATGGTTTAAAAAATGTGCAGCCTGAGACGCTGAAGTGGTATGGAGGGAGACGTGCTGGGCAGGCAGGTGGGAAGGACACAGAGTTCTGGGAGCCATCAGCACAGGGCTGACTAATAAAGGACGGTCCATCAGTTCACCCCAGTGCACGCCTCATGCTGCAGGTATGGGAGATACAACACTGACTGGAACAGGCAAAGATCTCTGTTCTCCTGTGGGGACAGACAGATAATACACAAATGATAGAATACAGAGCAAAACGAGGGCAGAAAGGGTAGATAGGAAACAGACTGTGTGTGTGTGTGTGTGTGTGTGTGTGTGTGTGTGTGTGTGTGTGTGGCGGGGAGGTTTGATGATGCCAAACAGGGTGTGTGTGTGGGCGGTCTGCAACCTCAAAAATGATCATTAAAAATAATCATTTGAGCCAAGACCTGAGGGATAAGAAACAAAGCCAAGTGTAAGCTAGGGGTGAGGGTGGAGGGTTTTATACACAAGAACAGCAAGTACAAGAGCCTGGAGATTCAGAAAGAGAACTACTCGAAGGAAAGAAGAAAGCTGGGTCTGGGTAAGGGGGTGAGGGGAAGACACCAATATGGTGAAGGAGCCAGAAACAACTTGTAAGGAAGTGGGGCAAGAGGAACCTGATGCTTCCAGAAAGTAGGGAAGAAGCTGAAAGTTTCCGGTGCTTCAGTAAACACAAGGTGAGGTATGAGAGGGCGACAATGGGTTTGAAATCTCGATCGCTCATGACTTTATAATAGAAACTTCCTAAGCTGCTGAAGGCTTATATAGAAAGTTGAAGAACAAGCCACTTGTTTAGAAGGGTGAACAGTATATTTGGACTGCTATTCTGAAAAGATTAACAATAGAAAGAAGACGGGAGAAGACAAAAAGACTTGAAGGGGCAGACAAACTGCAAGGTGACTTCTGAGGAAGAGGTTTTGGTCACCAGCGCAGACAGGAGAGGAGGTGGGGTAGGACGGCCACACCAGTGGCCTACAGAGCAGTCTCCTCAGCCTAACAAACCTTACAGAGAACATGATGCCAGATGTGTGTGCACACACGGTGTACCCTGAGAGGGGATCCTGGTCAGAGGCCACCTCGCCAGGGGCTCCAGACACACAGCTCTACTTCGCTGCCCCAAAGGTGGAGGGAGTGCTGTATCTTAACATACCTGGAACCCATTCACAGGACACCAGCCCTGTGTATTAATGTATGTATTGCGGTACTCTGAGTAGGACGCCCTCCTCTGGAGCTTTAGGTCTCAAACCCATCAAATTTAGAGAGAAAAAGAAGGGAGATAAAAGCTTTCTTCATGAATCACAGTCCATGACTGATGATCTTGATGGGTGTAATCCTTCTCAAGTCATACAGACTTAAAATCACTACCAGTGTGACTCAGCAAGATTTTTTTCCTGATTGGATCTGTCAGAGAGAATCATGTTTCAGCAGCCCTCTGTTTTAAGTCCCAGCAAATGCAATCCTTTTTTCTTGGGAACAAGAACATCAGTTCCACAGGTCTCCTGTACTGGTAATGTGTCTCTTCAGCCACAGTGCCCATTAACACCCGCTACAATACTGAGCACGAACTCTCTGAATTCTTAGACACCAGATTTCCTCTATGTGCACCTATGAGTACATATTATCCCTCCTTACCAAGTGGTGATGATGAATGACAGAACTGCTATTGCAGCCTGCCCCAAGCTCAATCTCACACAAATAGAGGTACACACAAGAATTAAGGTGTCCTAACTACAGTACGGCTTCAGAAGAAAAACCAAGACAGTCTTCTACATAGCCCTTAGGGATATATACTCCATAAATATCTGCATTGAAGGAGGGAGTGAAGATGGGTGACAGGGAGAAGTGACCAGATAGGACAAGGCCTCAGGGGAATTACAAGGATATGGGGTCAAGGAGTATATGTCAAAAATACCTTTTTTAAAAAAAATCTTTTTATACGTGTTTTATAGTTTACAAATCACATTCCTCCTCATCTCTTACAATCCTAGCAACAATTTTAAAATTAAAGGAAGATCCAATTACTTCTATTCTGTCCATGGGGAAATCCTCAGAGGGACGAAGTGAGGGGCCAGGTCCCAAGCAGGTGTCAGGGCTGAGACCTGTTCTTTCTGAGATCTGTTCTTGCACTCTATCATGCTGACAGAGGGAGGGATAAACAGGCAAGTACAAAGAGATTGCCATGACAGAAGAAACTTAAGGAGTTCACTCAGAGCCTCCTTGATCTACGCTCTTTCTTTTTAAAAAAGGAACATGGCTGGAGAGCCTGGCTGGCTCAGTCAGTAGAGCATGCAACTCTTGATCTCAGTGTTGTGAGTTTGAGCCTATACTGGTTGTAGAGATTACTTAAAAATAAAATATTAAAACAATAATAAAGGAGCATGGCAGCTTATTAACTCCTACACAGAAATACTCAATTTGAAAAACTTCAGGCTACCAATGTGCTGACAAATTAAGTATATCAACTCACCAATCTGGTTCTGCCCAAAGTGGGGCAAAGAGTAAAAGGAAAAACTGTATTAATGTATGTACTGAAACATATGCAATGCAGCAAAATGTCTTATAGTAATGATTAAGGATTATTAAGAAAGGTACAAAAAACATTTTCATTTCTTCACAAATTCATTGATTTTATATAGTGCAGCTAGTCTTCCAGTATTACGCCAAAAAAGAGAACCTGCAGTTTTCCAGCACTATCTTAAGAAATCACCCTGGGATATTTTCATGTGCTGACACTCAAATAGGTAACTAGAAAATATTATAGGAGTGTGAATATCCTGGTCTAATATTTTCTGACCGATGACTGACCTTGAAGATGTTCAAAGTGGCAAAAAGTGTTAAGGGAGATGTAGGAAAGACAACAACCCTGGGTTGAGGCAAACTTCTGAGGTCCTCCGTGTCAAAGACATCATCATGTTATTTAAAAGAACAAAAGAAACTAAATGTTCATTTACTTTAAGATGTCTTACCATGAGATTCAAGTCCAGCTCCCTGTGCCAGCCCATTGTCATAGGACTGAAAAAGAAAAACATTGTTCAGTTTAATAGGGAAATGATAAGAAATAAGTCCTCATTATGATAATTTTTGGTCTCTTGATCCATTTTTGGTTTCTCTCTCATATCTTCTAAAAATCCTTTCCCACAAAAGAGTAGTTTTAGGCATCTTCAAGTACCTGGTCTTGGCTTATTTACCAAGTCAAATGCATACAGTAGGCACATTCTGAGACAGGTTGTTCAAAGACGGCACCTATATATTCAATTTCTACCCAATAAAAAGCCCCAATCCTATTATTTTCCTACTTGCAAGAGCATAAAGTTTAAGGAAAATGTAAAGAGTCTGTACTAATGAAATATTATGAACATGAAATAAGTCTATTTTGAGGCTCGTGGGTAGCTGAGGATAACAATGCCTGCCTAAATTTGGATCTCCCTACGTATTCTACAAAATCAAAACAGAAGAACAATACAACTATATAAAACCGAAATCTCAGGGAAGCTGGAAGCGCACAAGCTTTAAATTACCTGTCTATAGAAAAAGGAACATCAAATCCCAGCATGTTACCTCTCACACTCCTGACACCCTTTTGTAGAGAGCAAGGGAAGTCTGTGGAAAATCATCAGGGAGGGAGAGGACGGGAGCCAACAGTAGGCCTGAGACGGATCTAAAATTAGTGCAGGAAGGAGAAGGTCCACCCTAAGGGCGCAATACAGGCAGTCCTTGTTTTGTACAGTCCTGATACGCACAAATTCAAGGTGCCATACCTTAGCTAAACACAAAATACGGTTCTAATCCAGAAACCATGGTAAGTTAATTGTGAGCAACTGCACAGAGTACAAACTTGCTGCTAGCACCTCAGTTTACAAATCACTACATACAGATGTGCATCATAATCAGTAACCAGTCCTATCATCTTTTTCAGAATCTGTAACTGGTCACTGCACATATTATTCAGCTCATGCACAGACAACAAAACATATGGTTGTGTTGTCTCTTCCTTTGTTTTAGTAATAAACCCACATGACATTCTCTGAAAAGGCAGAACCAAAAGAGCAGACAGACCACCAAAACCCAAAGTGCAATCAAGAAACGAGAAGCAGCACCACTAGAAGTCAGAGTGAGATCAAACACAGAGTAAAGAAAACACAGCTGATCCTGGCTCCTGTGCTGGTGCTGCTGTCAGAGACCTGACGTGCTATCAGGAGAACTAAGTGGAGGCAGAGTACTGCAAGTGAAGACCTGGCTGTGATGGGAGGGATGAAGATGGTCTACAAAAGGGATGATGCCAAAACACTGACAGGAAAGGAATTCTTGGAGATGTTTTCACAACAATGAAAACACAAAGGATAAAGTGTTGGGAAGCTGCTACAAATTTAAGGAGTCTGATCATCTACCAACGCAGAAAAGATGCTCGAACCCTGTCCTAAGTTACAAAATGAAAATAAGGCAAGCACTGTTCAAACTACTCTTTATATATTTTTTTCCACAAAGAAATTACTTTAACTCACTATTTCTAATGTCTTAATATTACAATGTACTAAGTACTGGCTTTACCACTTCAAAATTCTCTGTACACTTATAACTTCCAGTTTGATGTTATGGCAAAAAGTGGCATAGGTCACAGAGCAGTGGTGATCTCCCCCAGATGATTCATATCACTGGGCCTCTTGGCAGCCAGCATGCTCACTGCCACGGTCGGGCCCCACTGTGCAAAGTGAGCGCTGCCTGAACTGCATGAGCTCTTGGAGAACAGAGCACTTGCCTGCAGGGAAGGGACTTCAGAGTGTGCAGTGCTCAGAGGGCATGACTGATGAGTCAAGTTAACAAGGAAGCAGAGACAGGCCCTCTGAAGATCAGGTAATAAAAGATACTCAAAGGAGCAACATTCAGGGGCCTGAGAAACAAGAGAACCTCTGTCCTGCCAGAAAATCATCAAACACACAACACTTTCCTCAACGTGAAAAAAAGAAACAAAATCAAATCCTACAAAAGCTCATTAAAGAAATCAGACTTTGTTGACTAAAAAGAGTACACTCTTAAATAGAAATGTTTGTGAGAAAAAAAAATTCACAAAATGACTAAACAAAGAGACACATCTATATAAAGTAACTCTGAAATGAAAACATAGCAAATGCAATGAAAACATCTCAGTATATGAAAATCGGCTCCCGCCTCCTCAAAGTGGCCATAAAGCAGGAAACTGTCATACAGCACCCCAAACTCAACTGCATATCATCAAGTAAGCACCTGGGAGTATGCAAAGGAAACTAAAAGTTAAAAACAGAAAGGACAAACAGTAGGAGGAAATAAACAGAGTTCAATAACTTCAGCAAAGAAATGGAAGAAAATAAGGAATAATAAGACCAAGGAATAACATTCTCAAAAGAAAAGACAGGAAGTGACATGGATGAAAAGGCAGAAAACAGCCAAAAGATGAAAACTGAGATACAACAGTAAAAAGGGTCAGAGAGAACAGTGACTGATCAAGGACAAGCAAGGAAGAATGAAGATACATACACAAAACTGAAGTGCCTAAAGGAAAATAATGAACTGGAACTTGGCATTAGCAAACTATGGGCCGCAGGCTACATGTGCCTGTGGTCTGGTTCAGTATCATCTGGAGTGAAGAACATGATCATGCTCACTCAAAACAAACCAAAAATACACTGAGAAAACATTCTTTACCCACAAGACTGATAAAAAGTAAAGAGAATGATAACACATTCCATTGGCGAGGTGGTGTGGAAACAGGCACTCACCTACACTGGCAGGAATATAAACTGGTTCACCCCTCTGGAAGAGAAAATGGGCAACGTCTAATAAAATTACATATGCATTTCCCTTTTGATCATGCAAGTGCACTACTAAGAATTAACTCTGAAGATCTATCTCCAACAATACATAAATGCGTATGCATATGGTTATTAATTTCAACACTCTGGATTTGGAAAATAAGTGCACAGAATAGTTCAAAAAACTAAGTACATGCACACAATAGAGGACTATGAAACTAGGTACACCTTGAGCGTGCTACCTTGTAAGAAGGAAGGAGAAACAAAAATGTGCTTATCTGCTCATCAAGAAGAAATACAGGAAGGACAAACCCAATACTAATGAGACTGGTTCCCTATAGAGTGAATGGGAACAAGGCGGCAAACATGGGAGCCAGGAAAGAGGTGAGACAGAAGGAACAGGAGCTGACGAGTAACACATCTTGGAATACCCCTTTGTGTACAGTTCTTTCAGAACCAAGTCAATATTTCACATATTAAATACATTTTAAAAAATCAACAAAATTGGGGAAAAACACTAAAACGGAGCCCAAACAAACTTAGCTGTATTTTACACAGATAACATAACCATAGCGAAGGTGAGGGGGAATAAAGGAAGGAACTCAAGTATTTCTTTCTTTTTTTTTTTTTTAAGGTTTAATTTTTAAGTAATCTCCACACTCAATGTGGGGCTTGAACTCAAAACCCTGAGGTCAAGAGGTGCATCCTCTATCAAGTGAGCCAGTCAGGTGCCCATCAAGTATTTCTTAAATATGGTATTTTGACTATATACCTTCAGGTTCAAAACAAAGAGAGTCAATGTATCCTAGATAATGGGAACCAGGCTCGTCACTGTCCAAGAAGGGGGTTACAAAAAGAAAGGAGGAAGATAAAAAAAACCTGTGGTGAATTGAAATTTGAGGTATCAACAGGACTCATGTTTTTTAATACACATATGGATAAAGAAATAGAATGGGCAATGTGTGTAAAAGGGGAGGGGGGCAGTCTGTGCATAGATACACACACATACATGATTTCCTAGCTCGGCCTGCTGAGAGAAGGGTTAGAGGCAGTGATATCCCAACACTGCTACTAGCAGGGAGCACTGCTACTATGCCCAAATCCTCATTTCTACACACCATTCTCCAGTAAGAACCAGAGCTCCTTGCTGAAATGACTGATTCCAGGAAAGTAGAAGATGAACCTGGAATATCTTGTACCAGAATGCAAAGAGCTGCTCAAAGAATGAAGGGAGTGAGACAAAAAAAGACACAAGCATCTGTGTGAAGGGGCTTGCACTGGCTAAATGTGGGACAATGTGACCATCAAAATAAGTAAGGACAGTAACAGGCAATAGCCCACACCAGATAAAACAAGAATCTAGAGTTCAAACTGATATAGATTGATGGATGGATGAATGGATAGATGGATGGATAGATGGATAAATAGATGATAGAGAGATGTAAAGTGAAAGTTTTTTCTAAAAGCAGAATTTCAACTGAAAATTACAGAGGAAATGATAGAACTGGAAAATCATCAATGGCATACTGACACTGGTAGACAAAAGTTTAATGAGGGACAAGTTATTTAACAGTCTCCAAAACCTTGCCAGAAGATGCTGAATAATTACAAGCAGAACAATGCTAACTTTACAGAGAAGAATATGGCATACACCACCTTAACTGGTGATCAAAAGTTACCAACACTGCTAGCAGGGCAAATCAATACGCTGTATTTCCAAATACAACACACGGAGAACATGGTGTTACTTCTGTGGCAGTAATGCCAAAACACACATTACCCATCCTTCTATTTCATATAAATCTCCATTCCCTCTAAAGCTCCTTTAAGGGGCTGTTCTTTCTGCTATCACAGAATCTACCAAATCTGATCCGTACTCAAACGTTCGGTTAAAAAAATTTCATTACACTAGGAACTTATTTTTCATTTTGAAATACTGACTAGTAAAAGTTGAATTAACAACCTAAAACAGTCTAATCTACATAACTTCTATAAAACAAAACCTCATATTTGGGAAGTAATAAACCTGGGAAGCAACATTTGAACAAGGATCACTCTGGCTGAGACTAAGCTCTCCTTATTATTGCCAATGAAAAGTTTAAATTGTATCATGAAAAAAGTAACAGTTCTATTTGATACAAGCCTTAAAATAAACCTTAGATTAAAAAAAAAAAAGCACATGCAAAAGTATTAACAAAAAGACCCAAAAATCTATTGTTAGCTCAGTCAATCTTGTTATATTTGGTTCTTGCTAATCCAATGACTTATGGAACTCCCACCTCACACCAAATACAGAAATAGTTTCATCAAAGAAACCATAATTTTCCATTACACTTAGCCAGGGCTCTTCACTGACCCCTGGTAGCAAAGGCTATCAAACACATGCCTTTGAGGTTTTACTTCTTTTTTGACCAATCTCTTTCTAGTAAAGACATTTGTTTCCTTAGACACAATCAAATTACATTTAAATTTTAATGGCCAATGAATCAATCTGCCCTTTACAATTATTTCTATATTCTGATTACACAACGTATCCAAAAAGCAATCTTACTGCCCTTATTTCCAGATTCTGGTGGAAGAGCGACTGAGACATGCATTGTACTGCAATTTCCATATAGTAACAATAATAACCTAAAACAGTCAATTTGCCAACATAACTCACCATACTTCTTCTAATATAATTGATGGCTTTTTTCATATCCATGCCAGACCAGTTGTTGAGCATATAGCAAATACAGGAGGCACAGTATACAAATCGCATGTCATTTTCACTGCCTTCAGGGACTGCACAGAAGCTGAAAGTAATAACAGTATTATTTACGGTAACACCACACTAGAATCTAGTTTTTATTTTTTTGTGGGGATGGGGGAAGCAAGAAAATCTACTTCATGTCTTAATTCACAGAAAAACTTATTAAATATGGGTTTAAAAGCCATATACTACTTTTATTAGTAAAGAATAGGACTATTAACTTGAATAACACAAAATCATCCCTAGGTCACCACTCTATTTCAAAGTTCTGGATATCTGGGTAGCTTTACACACTACCAGTTACTCCTTCCCAGATAGCACCACACAGAATAAGTTTATTTGGTCCCTATCATGGACAGTCATAGCACACCAGCTTGAGAACTGATGGGGGGAAATATACCTAGGACCCACTGGGTAGTAAGAAATTTCCAAACCCATGTTTTCATATGTGTAATTTCTTCTAAATGTATATGTATATAACCACTAACTAATCGATCATAATATTGTGTTACAATTTAATTTTTACCTATTTCATTAGTTTTAGAGAGGTAACAGTCTGAGTCTGATATCTATTCCTTTATTTATAAACAAGGATAAGGTGGCAGTAATCAAAGACCATACGGAAACTTTGAGAACTTAGTCACATACACTGGCTGAGGTAAAGACTGAGTTCTATAGTATTTCCAATTACTGACAATTTATCTTACAAGTCTACTTAATTTTCCCCTCACCAAGATCATGTCTTTTAAACACTGAAAGGAAAACAGAGGTATTAGCTGATGGAGTACTGACATAACATTATGAGGAATTGGTTTGCAAAATCTTTTCCTTAGACAGTATCACTACTGCTTTGTCACTTCCTAGATTTGGTGGGGGGGTGGAGGGGAGAGTGGAGAGTTTCACCTTAAAACTCTGGGACGATTCCTCAGACATACCATACAAACCACCTAATATTCATAAGTTCTTTTTCTAACGTTTACAAATGTCACTGAAACTATCTACACTATTGTGTTCACCCACTTATTCCCCAATCACTATATCTTAAGGAATAAAAGTTCAGACTAAATGTATGCTTACTTCAACATATCCATTTTTTTCACCCAGAAGGTAAATTAAAGTCCATCCTAATACTGAAACCATTCAACCACTTACTTGTGAACATATTCACTGTCTCAGTTAAAGAGAAAAAACAAGGAGCTCTGCTGTTGTGATTTCTTTTTACTCACGTTAAAAAATCTTAGGGGGTTTTTTGATTAGGGATTTAACTGGATGTACATACAGTGAGCTTTAAAGGCTTCTAAATGGGTTTATGATAAACTCTAAAAGTTCTAGTACAGTATTATACCCATTTTTTCTACAAAATTTGTCCGAAAAAGAAAAAATAGAAAAAGAAAAGGACAATAAACCAAAGAGTGACCCATACCTTCCATCTTCCAGCTGAAGGGCTCTCAAGCCTGCTAAGCAAGCTTCCTTATTTACTCGGCTTAGGTCATCTCCAAGAATAACTAAGCATGAAAGGCCAGTGTAGGTCATTGCTATGTGGCCACTATCATAAGGATGAGCCGTTCCAGGATTCTAAATTCAAAGTTAACATAAAGTTAATTAATTGGTAAACTGAAAACTTACTTCATTAAGTAATCCAGCACGAGGTCTCAGGAACTAGTAAAATTAAATGTTAGTACTGATTTGTACCTACACCAGATTGAAAAACAAACCCCATTTTATAGGTCTCAATGTAAGTATGACTGCATGCTTGCCAGGCTACACAATTTTTAAATTTATCCTGCAAACCTCAAACTTTATAGAAGCAGCTCTGATATGCAAATAAACCACATTATTTGAGCTTCATATGTAGACAACCATATTACTTACAATTTAAGTCTCATGAAGTTAGAAAAGCATACAGTCTTTCAAAGATTTATAAAAGAAATAAAAATTCTTTTACTGTACAAATCCAAATTAAATACCATAGTAATCACCACATAAAAATGTTTTAAATGTTTTAATTTTTTAAAATTGAAGTACAGTGACATATGACAAAGAATATTTTAATTTTGACAGAATACGAGTAATATTTTAAAAAATTCATCTCTCTCCTGTATCCACTGTAAGAAATGGTAACTTCTACAACCACTGAAACACACCAAATCCTGGCTCTACAACTCGTTGTCTTGCTTCATTTCCTCCTTCTGAAAAAAAGATATTAGTACCTCTATCATGGGGTTATTGTGAGGATTAAATAAAATTACTGGGACAAAGATGCTAGTTATCCTGATGATGATGCAAGTACAAGGCAAATATCCAAAGGGCCACTACTTCCTGGGAGTCATGAACGAGGATCTTAGAATCATTAGGGAGTGAATCACATTATTTTCCTGCTCACCCATCTTGTGGTTCCTCACAGAACAAGTGTGCATGGTTTTCAATACCTTTTATAATCTGAACCCACCCCACCCATCTGGTTTTACATATACGATTCTTTATATGGTCTCACAAATGCGCCAAACCAATTCTCATCTGGCTAACACTTTAAATTCTGAGCTCCTTCCTAGAGCTCAAACTCTGGTACTCCTGCTTATTCTACTCCTAGAATAGTCTACCTAGATCTCCTATGGCATACAATAGTCTACCTAGTCTACCTAGAACTCCTATGGCATATTTCATTTTTTTGGTACTTAAACTAAACATCTACCATGTTAAGAGCACTGTGGGGGAACCCAAACAGAAATCAAATGCAGAACTTAATCTTAAGAGCAGAAAAAGGGTCTGGTCTAGTAATTACAATACCAATTAGAATGTAGTGTCAGGAGGGAGATATAGCAATACAATGATTTTTTTTCTTTTTTTGTTTTAACTATCATCATATCTTCTGTTAGCCAAATCAGAAGACTGTTTAGCTTGATTTTCTTTTAAGGAGGTTCCATGTCCAATGTGGGGCTGAATTCATCTCCCTGAGATCAAGATTTGCATGCTCTAATGACTCAGTCAGCCAAGGGCCCCAGTAACACAAAATTTTAAATGGATTTTTCTTTTTTGCAGAAGAGGAGCTTGGTGGGTAGAAAGGAGAAGCAGCTTTATAGGTAGAAGAAAAAGTAAAAGCAAAGCAGAGAAAGAAATTCTGGGTATTTAGCATGTATTAGGGACAACACTTCATTTAATAGACAATACAGAATTTGTGAAGGAAAACAGTGAGAAAAGTGGGTTGAGAGCATCCATCAGTGTTTCTTAAAAAGTGCTCTAAGGCTATGGAAGATCCTGGGCACTTAACAGGTAAGGCAATAGCCTATAGATGGTTTGGTTTCAGAAGAAAAACTGAGAACACTACTGTATTTATATACTGTATCTGACAATCCTATGTGCCTCAGATTCTTACAGACTCTCAACCAACCACCCTCAGTGAAAACTCCTGGGGGCCTATGAGTCCCCCTGGACTTTCCTGGTCCTCCCAGCACTCAAATTCATATGAACACAATGTGGCATGGAGTGAGACCTGGCCTCCCCAGAAGATGCCAGGGATCCAGGTGAATTAGGACCAAAACTGGGTGTGAAGAGACTGTAAATCAAGACAAAAAAAATTGTTTCTTCTTCAGTTTTATTCCTGTTATTTTAAAAATGTCTTGGAAGTGGGAAGGCAAGAGGAAGGCGACTGACTTTTAAAAGTAATGCTTTCAAAGCCCTGTTTTATTTCAACAAGGGTAGGTATACATCTGTGTAAGTAAGCTATGGCACTCTAGGGGGGGTCATCATGACCAAGTGTCATAGCACCCAGAAACCTTGTCCACTATGAGCAAAGGGAGAGCCATCTTCTTCAGGACTGGCATCAACTGGAAAATGTTATATGTATAGGAAAAGGAGAACATATTTTATGAATCCTTGGTTTTTAGACTCCCTGCTAAAAGCAATGGGCACACATGATTGAAGACAACTTGACTGAGTCACATGACTTTGACACTGGCAAGATGATCTATAGCCTAAAACAGAGGAAGAAAATTGAATTCCTAGTGCCTCTAGGAAATCAATCATGCTGCTTTCACCCACCCATATCACTGCTATTTATTCCATAATTTAGAAGCAGAGCATTAAAAAATTGGCAATATGCCATTTATGTTTAGGTTACAACTGGATATAAATATTAATGTACTCAGTATTGTTAGACAGTAGCTTGTAACCAATATATAAGCAGAGTGACCCATTAAAGGAAAAGTGTCTATGCTGTATGGCCCTCTTTTGAAAAAAAAAAAAAAAAGACGAAGTTTCTCTCTGCTTCTGCTATAGAAAAATATTGTTATTTTGAGTCTAGATGTAAACACCTGCAGAACTGGCTGGTTCCACTGCTTCGAAGAAGAGAAAAGCTCTTCACTCTGTTAGGAGTCACTGTTTTCTACACAGCATGTGCTGGTACCAAAGTCACTGGCTATAACCCTGGAAGATTGTCTGCCTATTGCCACAAAAGTCCTCAAACTCATCACTGCTAGGGTCTTCTATTACTGCCTTGGCAAGAACTTTTTCTTTTATTTCTAAGGTATGTGAGTCGAATATACAGTTTTTCACTAACACAGAAGTTCTCTGGCTTCCTAGAGAGCAAGTACCAAGCAGAGTGCTTTATTTCCAATTCTCCAGGAAATCACCAATAATTTTTACAAACACAAGTGACAGTAGGATATAATGCTTGAGACAGTAGAGATTTCTGTGTATGTACTGTACATTGTGCCAGGAAATAAGGTGTGCACCACACTCCTTCGTAGCAGTTGTAGGTCATAATGTACATCAACAGACACTATTTTAGGTATATCGAAACATGGAAGCTTGGTTCTGTCTGTATAATTTCTTAGTTTTCTTTCTCACTAAAATCCAACCAACCACCTCCCTTCTCCTTCCTCCTGACCCAGACAGAACTCACCTTTGATGGGTTGAATGGAATACCCAGGTATGAAGAGCCTCGGAAACCACAGCGATTTAGATTTGATCCTAGAAAATAAAAACGTGTACTTATTTAAGGCATACTTTATTTCTCTACAGACTCTAAAGCCGTTCAATTAAACATTCTTTCAGAAACTGAGCATTTTAGTACCAAAGCCTTGTCACTGTGTCCATTTTCATTCTAGCTAATGGTTGGTTAATGCTCACTATGTGCAAAAGCTGTTATCTCTTTATGGGAATTTCCTCATTTAATTTTCAAAAATTTGTTAAAATTTATTTAAAGTAATCTCTATATTCAATATGGGCCTTGAACTCACAACCCCAAGATCAAGAGTTGCACACTCTGACTGAGCCAGCCAGATGCCCTTTTCATTTAATTTTCAAACCAGAGACAAAATAATGATTTCCTACTATGTACCTTTAGGTTGTAGCCTACCTCACTGTATACAAAATGCTTCCTTACCTTTTCTATATGATTATTTTTCATGTGACCAACATATTTAATCCCCATGCTAAAGAAAAGGAAGCAGAAGTCCCAGAGGTTAAGTGACATGTTCAAGGTAACAAACCGTTAGTAATGCATCAGGATCTGGAATTCTAACTTCCCATCCAGTGTCTTTTTACTTTAACTCACTGCTTTTTTATATGTGAGCAAACTAAAGGCAGAAGCTGCTCTAGTCACAAAAAAATATTATGTATTTTGCATTTCAACACAATAACCCACTTTGAAGTACTGGGAAGTTAAGAAAATAAGCTGGAAACTTCAGTCACGTCCATGAAAAGAGAGCCCTGTGCACTGGTAGTGGGAAATGTAAATTGGTATAGCCAATATGGAAAATAGGATGGAGGTTCTTTAAAAAATTATAAATAGAACTACCATATGATCCAGCAAGCCCACTACTGGGTATACGTCCAAAGGAAACAAAATCGCTAACTCCAAGAGATGTCTGTACCCCCATGATTACTGCAACATAATTTACAATAGCCAAGATGTGTCTGCTGACAGATGAGTGGATAAAGAAAATTTTTCACACACACACACCAACCAGGATACGATTCCGTCATAAAAGAAGAAATTCTGCCTTTTGTGACATTATGGATGGAACTTCAGGGCGTTATGCCACATGAAATGAGAGAGAGAAATAAATACTATAATACTCTATGTTCTCACTTGTATGTGCAATTTAAAAAGGCTGAACTCACAGAAACAGTAGAATAGTGGTTCCCAGGGGCTGAGAGAAATGGAGAGATGTTAGTCATACAAAAGTCTATCTGTAAGATGAGTAAATTCTGGGGACTTAATGTATAGCATGGTGACTATTATTAATAGGACTGCATTATATACCTGAAAGTTATAGGAGAGATCTTAAATGTTGTCACTACACACACAAAAGGTATGTGAGGATACTGTGGTAATCATTTTGCAATATATACACGTATCAAATCATAATGTTGTATAACTTATACTTATGTATATTCTATGTCAATATCTATAAAACTGGGAAAAATAAAAAAACTATAAATTTAAAGTTAGTTATACCCACAGTAAGAAACTATGGTTCTGATACCTATTAGACAATCAGCATGATAGATGAAGAGGACAGAAATGTAATATCCATAGACTGTACAAGCACTGTTAATAAAAAATCAAGTAGATTTATAAATAGGTTCTGACGTGAGAAACTAGTTTCATATCTCTTATGACTGGAACATGACTAATTCATAATAACTGGTTTTCATTCTTATATTCCTTCAAATCAGGTACTCTATTCTCTGTATTTCCCACAGTACTTAGAATAATAGCTTAAACATTAATTTCTTGAACAATTTAGGAAACTTTACACACCAAATTTAAAACTTTCCACTAACCACCTTCCCCTGTTAACAAAAAATTTATTTGAAAAAGGGTATTATCTAATGGTGATATTAACGAACATAGCTCTATTATCTTTGCTAAAGACTTTTACATGCATAAACTATTTAAGACTTGTCAAGGTATAATAAGAGTAACAAAAAGGCTCAGACTGACAGGGTGAGGATACATCTGAGAATTTACTCTTGTAACTTTCAGGATAAGAAAGGCCAGATGCACAGACACACCCAATACAGTGCTACATGTGGTAAGATTCAGAAACAAACAGGAGTCCAGCAGGTTAAATGCAATACTCTAGCTCCTCAAAGGAACACTAAACTGCTACTAAATACTTAGGGAAAACTATATAGCCACATGGAGAAATGATCAAGAGAAAAAACAGGACACAAACATTTATGTGATCATGTTTATAATTAAGCAAAGGAGGCTTATCAACAAAGTCCAGAAGGAAATAAATAAAGCAACATTGTATGGAATGACAGGAAAGTGAATTCTGTTTTTTCTATGAGTCATTTTTGCCCTAATGAATTATCAAACTTATTAACTTGAAACCACACCCCTTTATTATCTCACAGCTCTGCAGGTTCCGAAGTCCAAGACAGGTCTCACCAGGCTAGATGAGCATGCCAGTGGGGGCTGCACTCCCCACTGGAGGCTCTGGGGAATAACCTCCCCTCAAGTTCCCTCAGCTTGCTTAGCAGGTGTGGCACTGAGGTGCCCACACCTTTGCTCATGTCAGCTGGGCCCCAGAGCTCCTAGAGACCACTCTTGCCACTGCTTGTATCTGGGCCTCTGTACCATGGGCCTGCAACACAGCTGAAATCCTTCTTGTGTTGGGATTCTCTCTAGCTTCTCCTTCTGCAGCATCTCTCTGACTCTTCCTGCCTTTTCTCCTTTAAAAGGGCTCATGTGGTTGTACCAGGCAACTCCTTGCCCCAGTACATAAAACACCTATCTCCCTATTTTGAGGTCAGCTGACCAGGAACCTTAACTTCATCTTTAAAGTCCATAAGTGCCTAGTGTCTGTACAACCAATAAAACTTCCGCCACATGAGCAATAAGGTTGATTTGCTTTCTTGACACTGGTGTGTTCACTGGAATATGACTTTTTTTTTAAGTTTTATTTTTAAGTAATCTCAACACGGGGCTTGAACTAACGACTCCAAGATCAAGAACTGCATGCTCTTCCAACTGAGTCAGCCAGGGACCCCTGGAGTAGCACTTCTAATTTCCTCCTAAAACCTTTCCTTTGCATTCACAACTTAGCCAACTGGCACAAGAGGCCTAGCTTTCAACTTATCTAGGCTTTTCACATGCCTCCTTCACCAAGCTCAATCATTTCTAGCTTATGATTTAAAGTGAGAGATGTGCAGCCCTCCTTTTCACTTAAACACTTAGAAACCACTATGGGGTAACTAACTGCCCTAATTTCAATATTGTGTCTGAGGGACTAAAGAGGCCTGAGGAGAGGGATGAAGGGGAATGGCCGGTCAATGGAATAGTCATAACACTCATGTTTATCAATTACGTGCACTGTCTTATATAGGCACAGTTTGTCATGCCTCAAAACAATCGGAATAGTAGCATCAACGATCACTGATCACAGATTACTATAGTAAGTATAATGAAAAACTGAACTACTGAGAAAATTACCAAAATATGAAACAGAGACATGAAGTGAGCAAATGTTAGAAAAATGGAACCAATAAACTTGCATGATAGAGTTGCCACCAGCCTTCAATTTATAGAAAATGCAGTATCTTCAAAGCATATTAAAGTACAATAAAATGAGGAATGCCTATTAGAGTATAAAAAATCTGTTTCTGAATGAAATGTTATTTCCTTACAGGTAAAGGAAATTGTTCATTTCTATGTATTTAGCTTATTTACTTACACCTTTAAATTATCTGAAAAGCAGCAAAAATACTGATGTTCAAAAATATCACCAAAGGTTAGGAGACTGTGGCATTGACGTTTGGAATCTAATTCAAGATCCTATTCTTACTAACTCTGTATTCTATGGGCAAATAATACCCTCTCTGAGCTAGTTCCCTCCATTTCTGAACAAGGAACGGAACGTATTGCAAGCAGTACTTTGCAGGGTTCTTGCAATGTTTAAAGGACACAGGCAAATGATGTTCTGTCCAGTGACCAACGGAAATCAACAGTAACCCAGTTCAAACAGATTCATTAGATTTTTACAAAAAGTGAAACAGGAAAAAAGTATCAGCTTCTGTTGCAATTGAACAAGAAAAGTTTCTTTTTTTAAAAAAAAAAGTTATTTATTTATTGAGAGAGAAGGAGAGAGAGCATGAGGGAGGAAGAGGCAGAGGCAGAAGCCCCCCCCTGAGTAGGGAGCCTGATGCAGGGCTCTATCCCAGAACTCTGGAATCATGACCTGAGCTGAAGGCAGACGCTTAACTGAGTCATCCAGGCACCCCCAAAAAAGTTTAAGTATACAATGGAATATTACTCAGCCATTAGAAATGACAAATACCCACCATTTGCTTCAACGTGGATGGACCTGGAAGGTATTATGCTGAGTGAAATGAGTCAATCGGAGAAGGACAAACATTATATGTTCTCATTCATTTGGGGAATATAAATAATAGTGAAAGGGAATAGAAGGGAAGGGAGAAGAAATGGGTAGGAAATATCAGAAAGGGAGACAGAACATAAAGACTCCTAACTCTGGGAAACGAACTAGGGGTGGTGGAAGGGGAGGAGGGTGGGGGGTGAGGGTGAATGGGTGACGGGCACTGAGGGGGGCACTTGACGGGATGAGCACTGGGTGTTATTCTGTATGTTGGCAAATTGAACACCAATAAAAAATAAAGTTATTATTAAAAAATATAATAACAACAACAAAAAAACAAAAAAACAAAAACGACTTCCTCTTCCCCCTTTCCAAGAGTATATATTGTCACTCAAAAAAATTCACTGGGCAATTCATTCTGATTCTTGTCAAGATTTGCCTGCTATTGTGTTTTCCTTTATATTCTAGTAAGCTTACCTATTCATGATAATTATTAAGTATAAATGAGCCATTCCAAATTTATAACCAGATGCATATTCACAGTAGTCTAAGCTTCCTTGGAGATTATTACACGGTGCCATCTAGTGTTCCTATTCAGTAGCAGCAGAATAAACTGGAAGTGTGGGTCTGGGTCTCAAC